TAAAAATTCGATATCCTATTTATGACCGTTGCGGCTGGCACAGTTGCCTAAACATAAATTTGTGGCGAGCTTTTGTGTTGATGTTCTTATCGATAATGATGAAAAAGTAGCTTCTTCTACATGCCCAATTCAAGACTTGACAGTGCAAACACCATACCTTATTTATTACCAAAATGACCAAAGATAGCCTATTTATGACCAAAACGGATGAAAAACCATACCCTTTGGGACTTCTCATAGCTATATAGCCCGTATAAGGGAGTATCCCTCCTCCCCCCGGGCAGGGAACACGTAACAATTACCATATCAACTGATATCACTAGGTATCCTAGGGATTTGGGCAGCCCTCACATTTTGACATTCCTTGTCCTTTCCTCTCATGAATGCCTTTCTTCTTTGCAAGTTTGGTTTTCCTTTTCATCCTCGGTCGATTTGGCTACCCGTAATTAAGGAAACGAAAACAACCAAACACTTTGGAAGGGGATACCCATATCACTAGTGATTTTGCTATCATGAGACCCCGCTTTACGACCATCCCGTTAAGACGGCCCACCTCTTTATTACGGCCACTTTACTCTGGCCCAAACAAAAGCTTAGTCAGTCATTTTCTTATTCAAAGAATCTCTTTAATACGACCATATTTTTGTGGCCCGTTGGTGACCGGATTACAGAATTGTATACCACTTCCTTGTGTCCAAAGGACACTCTTGTCTTGTCTACTTTATCTATATTTATTTTAGATATGTCTCCGAAAGAAAAAAAAGAAAACGCTATTAATGGCACAGAAAAGTACAGTGCGCTGGCAAGATCATGGATGGCCGAGGAAAGAGCGACAAATAAACAGATCATGACAAACCTTTCAGACAGGCGACAGACAAAGAGGTCAGTCACAGCTTGGCGACCTGCAAATTACGTACCGGCCGTATTTTAATGTGTTCGATTGCATATTGATTAAATTCAATCGCCGAGCTATCTGAGGTTTAGAATGCGCCTCTTTGGTTTAAAATAACCTGCTTTTCAAGAGTTATCGATAGGCACCAAGCGCATGTTTATACAAGGAACTTTGGCGCGTGATTCTGGATTTGACTGGTTTTGCATCTCGTAATAAATGCGGACTCGGATCAGACAGTCTGTTATGAATTGCGACTATTATTACAGACGTATTGTATTTATATCAAGCTAACGAACGCCTAAATTTATTAAGACAAAGCTTCGTAAGAAGATAAATGTTTTTTTTTAGCAGAATTGTGGATGATATTCACTTGGCTTTCAGTAAAATTGACTTACGTCATGGCTTAAAAATAAAAATGATGTTTATATGTTCTAAAAAAGCGGTTTTTGTAATGCTAAAACACAAGGTCACGCTTCTTATGTCTTGCATATTGAACTCGGAAATTCCTAACTGAAAATGAAAACTGCAGTTGCTATGGAATTGGCAAAAATACAAACATTTACGATTGTAAACTATCTCTAAAACTGTACCCTACTCCTAGAATAGATGATGTTCAAATGTTCTAAAAAAGAGGAGCTGAAACACGAGGTCACGCTTTTTTGTCTCGCATATAAACCCTGAAATTCCTAGGTGAAACAGAAAACTGCTGTTGCCATGGAACTGGCAAAAATGCAACAGCAAAAACATTTGCAAACACGTACGTTTAAGATTTTTGTTTTGTTTTGTTTTTCTTTTTTCAATTGAAACTTGAAGATTTAACGTTTGATTGTGAATTTTTTTAACCCTTCAGTCGGTTTTATTCGACTTAAAATTGGTCAATGAATTAAATCCGATAATTAACTCAAGGAATTCAGCACTGAAAGTAAAGGCTAACCTATAAACATATAAACACCAAAATAAAAATAAACGTTCTTAGTAAAACAGGAAGAGAAGCATTAAAGTGCGCCTGGTTGCCTTTGGTCCTCATTAACGAACTTCGTCAGATGCATGAGAAATTAACGACAAGAAATAAAATTTCTTTTAAAAATAGTCTTTATTTTTAAAAGGTGTACACTATGCTCATTAAAAGAAGAGCATTCGTTGAAGACATTTGTTTTTTTCATTTCACCTGAATACATGGAGCATCAGCATTCTGGTACCGATCCAATACTTTATTGACAGAGAGCTACACGTAGGGATTCATAAAATATTTTTCTGTTGTGAGGGTCACGTAACAGTTTTAGTCGCCCATTGTATATATTCAGGGATGAAAAGGTTCCAGATCAGTTGTGAACTAAGCAGCAGTAAGAGAGCAATTGTAGAAACATCTTGAGAAAGACGAAAGAAGAAAGAAGACTACAATGCCTGTGCAAATTAATGAGACGGGATTTCCATCTTATTCACGCTTCACCAAGGTATCTGAATATTAAATATCTTAAAACTCAACTCAGCTCGGAACTTAAGTAAATTGTGCCGAATTGATCTGCAGATTATTGACGAAGGTACCAAAATGCTTTTTAGAAATTAGGAAGGTAACGGACATTTTCAAGTTTTGTTTTCAGCGAATAATTAACAAATATCAGATTACGGGACAAATTAAAGTGCATTAACTTTTCCCTATCATTGGAATGTTCGCCGCGGAAGACAAGGTTCAAGTTTGTCGCATTTTGATTTGTTCTTACCTATGATCTATTGGAGGACAGACTACTTTCTGCTCAAACAAACAACTCAAATATTAATAAAATCAGTTTCTCTCTCAAATCAATGATCTTCCTACACAATTGGAAAAGATGGAAGAGCTGTTACTTGCCAGGATTCCGCCATGACGCCAAACTTATTGAAGAAACTGGTGAGTTTAACAAGACTTTTCAGTTTGTATATTTAAAACAATTTTAATAGTTCCCTTTTCCCTTGAACATGGATTCCTTGCATGCAAACCACGATTTTTTAGTCGGTGAATTAAATTGCTTTTCTAACATATTTATTTTATATTTATCT